CAAATCACCATTCTATAAGATAATTCTAAAAATGGAGGCAGCCCAAACAAAAAATCATAACTTTTAAACTGGGATTCTGATCAGCACCAAAATTAGCACAGTTGTAGCACACAGGCTGCTCTTGCTCTGTGCCAAACATAAGGATGTTTGTGCAAAGGGCATTCAAATTATGATTTTTGAAAGTAATTTTGTTTTACACCATTTGTTCAGAAATAGGCAACCCTAAATGTCCCCAGATTTAAAATAGATCATATAAATGAAAAGACTAATCTTGCTTATCTTGAAAGAGAATGGTTGGCCACAACATTTTTTTTAATTTGGAAAGAATCAGGGTGGAGGTGCTTAAATATTGATCCTCAAAAAAAAAAAAAAACATTTCAAAGAAGGAAAACAAACACTCTGTTAAAGACTGAGCACATCTGGTACAGCCTAGCCAGCAGGAGCTTTCTGAAATAAAACCTTGTTTACATTCGTAGGCAGAAGAGGGATATGGTAAATTAAAAAAACCCTTCAAAGATGTTTCAGAAAGATGTTATGTGCCAGCAAGTCACTTCTGATGTATATCAGAAGTTAATGTCCCATCATTAACAGCTCCGTCTCTAGATCTTGCAACCCAGCAACATCTCATGTTAAGCTCTTCTTTCTTCCTACCTCTCTCCCCCCCCCTCCAGCAATATTATCTTTTCCACTAAGTTCTGTTAAGGTCTTGCAAACTGACAGCTGCAGATTCCTTTGCTGAATTAATCTATCTCATGTTAAGTCTTCCTCTTTTTTCTACTGCTCCCCAACATTTAAAAGCATTATTGTCTTTTCCTGTCATTTCTGTCAGTCAACAAGGTAGAAGTCTCAATTTATTAATTTTTGCTCTTGTGAGATTTTAGATTTTACTTGATTGAGCATCTACCTATTTGCCTTTCTGGTGATTTGTGGTATCTAAGGCTTACCTCCTACACCATATTTCAAATGAGTTGAATTTCCCTCTGTCTTTCTTCACTGTCTTTTTACATAATATGAATGATTTTGACTATTGTTTCTAATGACACTCTTTGCTAACGCCCACCCCCCTCCTTTTTATGTCAAAAATGAAGAAACATCTTTTGGAAAACATGAAAGCAGCTTGTCTATAAACCAAGAGTTTAGAAATTGGAAGATAGCTTTATAATCTATAGGGAGAGGATTTCTATGACATTTCATATTTTCTCTGCAACCTACATTTGAACCCATAAGCAAGCTCAAACATATTTCTCACCAGATTACTCACAAACATGTTTAAATCTACCCATACGGTCATGCATAGGTTGCAGGAAAAAATGACATATAATAGAAATGCTCTCCTAAATTTACATTCTGTGGAGTGGGCACAGCAGAATTAGTTTACCTGAGAGGTTAAAGGCTATGTACTGTATGTGTTTTTGTTATATTAGTTGCAGTCAATCACACTTTGTTTCTCCATTTCATTAAGTTTAAAACAGCTCTTCAAATTATTTTAGCATAGAGGGACTGTACCAATGTCACAACTATCCTGTGTTCTGCCCTCCCCCAGCAATCATCTTATGGATCATGATCATCTCCTGGAATCCTCTAACAGTGTAATTCTACATGAGGGATGTCAATGCTGGAATTTGTGCATGATTTATGTATACTTAAAAAGCCAGGAAATCCAAGTCTTCAGAAAACCCTCTGGTTTATGAATGTGGAATATTGTGTTTGGTTCAATATTCGAGGAAATGGTCTGATATTGCTGCACAATATAGTGCCCACATTGCCAACAAGAAAAAGGACGCTAAAGTTTGCAAAGCAAAAGGCTACCTGAATGCTGACGATATCCATGTCATCAATCAAGGTGGTCTACAGCAGTGGTTCTTAACCTTTTTGAAAGAAACGCCCCCTTGAGCCATTGAGGAAGTTATCATCGCCCCCCTCCCCGCGGTGATGAGATCTTATTTATTTATTTAAGACACTTAAATCCAATGACCCCTGAAAACAAATTTCAATTCCAAGAGAATGAAATGCCCCCCAAAAGGAACATTTAATGATTTAGTTGCAAGCGAATTTTAAGATGCAAAAAGAAATTAAAAAGGGCATAAAAACAAACCGCAATGCAGGAACTAAAAATTTTAAGACGAAAACTCTGAAACTAAATTAAGATTGGAGGAAAATATATATTCATGCACATTGTAAAAAGACTGCAGCCATCTTCACAGGTTTGGCTTGCTGCAGCGCCCCCCTACCGCCCCCTTCTGCTCCAGCGCCCTCATGCAGCCCCTTTTCGTTCTACCGCCCCCCTGAAAAATGAAATCGCCCCCTGGGGGGCACTATCGCCCACGTTAAGAACCACTGGTCTACAGGATACCCTCTTGTGCTCACTATCATTCGCAAGGAGACCTCAATCAGGAGAAAATCCCAAAACTCTACTCCCTTTTTTCAACAGTTAACCACTTCTCACCAAACACTAACCAATTGTCAGGGCTTTTTTTTCAACAAGCTTTAAAGGTATTTATTGCTTGGAGCCAAAAAGTAGTCAACATTTCTAGAAGAAATGGAAGTGAGCACATGGTCCTGTAGACCAGTTTGACTGCTAGTGTGGGTTTAATCAACATTCAGGCTGCCCTTTCAATTTAAAGCTTGGCATCCTTTTTTTCTGCTGGCAATGTGGGCATGACATTGTGCAATAAGCCTCTGGCACTTTGAATCATAGATACAGAAACACAAACATTCCACATTCATAAAAAGGAGAGCTTTTTTTAAAAAAAGAAATGGAATTAATATTCATTCCCAATGGGTTATGTATTGAAAACAGGCTGAAGCATACCAAATGAGGTTCCTCATTTCTGTGTTATGAATGAAAGTATAAGGTGTTTGGCACAGCCCTGGTTGCATGTGGCAATTGTGCTCCTTCTACATGTTAATACTGCCTTTTCCCTGATGCCCAGAGTACTGCTGCGCACTAATAGGGTGGTATACAAACAAATGAAATGAAATAAGATAAATGTTAGAAGACACTGGGTCCACTCCCTGAAGATGTTAGTTTTACAATTGAGCCCAGAAACAGATATGAGCAGAGATTGCATTAGAGATTACTACATCGCAGTCATGAAGTCAAGAGCTATTTAGATATTGTATGAAAGCAAATATCACTGTTTATATGTTTTTTGTTGTGTTTAGCTGTGAATACCGTGTCCCCCGCTCTCCTGTTGTTGTATAGTTGCCTTTGTAATAGTTAATAAAATTGTTTTATTTTCCCCATCTTGAAAATCAATATTTCTATTGTTGTTTTTAATTTCATTATATTGTTTGTATTCCATTTTTTATTGTTAGCTGCCCAGAGTAGACTTTGGTCTAGATGAGCAGGGTATAAATTTTAATAAATAAATAATAAATAAATAAATAAATAGATAAAATAAAATTTTAAAAAATGTTAGTAAAATAAGTGGGAATGGTATTGTGGCATGGCACTAACCTCCTAAGTTCAGGAGAATCTGCAGTGAGACACCATTTGTGCTGCTGTATACAAGGGTATCTGAAGGTATTCCTTGATCATGGGTGTAGCATGGAAGACAGCTAGTTTTATATTGCCACTCTTCTATGCCCATCCATGCTACTCTATGCCTGAAAAAGGCTTTTATCTCATACCCTGATTCTCTCCAAGGATCAATTTTTGTTTTCAGCATTTATTTGTCCTTCTTGGTAATATTAGAATACCATTGAACACGGTTCTACTCAGTAGTTGTATTTGCTTCTGAGATATATACTGTACATATATAGTGTAAGAAAATGGAAGGCACTGATGTGAGGTGTTGTTGTTGTTTAGTCGTTTAGTCATGTCTGACTCTTCGTGACCCCATGGACCAGAGGATGCCAGGCCCTCCTGTCTTCCACTGCCTCCCAGAGCTGGGTCAAATTCATGTTGGTAGGTTCGATGACACTGTCTAGCCATTTCGCCCTCTGTCATCCTCTTCTCCTCTTTCCTTCACACTTTCCTAACACCAGGGTCTTTTCCAGGGAGTCTTCTCTTCTCATGAGATGGCCAAAGTATTGGAGCCTCAGCTTCAGGATCTGTCCTTCCAGTGAGCACTCAGGGTTGATTTCCTTTAGAATTGATAGGTTTGTTCTTGCAGTCCAGGGAACTCTCAAGAGCCTCCTCCAGCACCAAAATTCAAAAGCATCAATTCTTCAGCGGTCAGTCTTCTTTATGGTCCAGCTCTCACTTCCATACATCACTACAGGAAAAACCATAGCTTTGACTATTGGTACTTTTGTTGGCAAGGTGATGTCTCTGCTTTTTAAGATGCTGTCGAGGTTTGTCATCCTGCACAGATCTAACAGTCTGAACCATCCTTATAGGAAATTAAGTCTTACTGTTGTTGTAAGTGCCCACAAATCGGAATCGACTTATAACGACCTTTATAGGGTTTTTAGGGTGAGATACTTAAGGAGTGGTTTTACCACTTCCACACCCCCAACGAGTTTTCAAAACTGAGCGGAGATCTCAACCACACCTCCCATAATCCATGCTGGGTATCCAAGCGGTATAGTACTCTGAGTAAGTTTAGAGTTGGGGTCACTTTCTTACAGAAGGTGTTTAAAAGGAAGATTTTGACAGTTATCCGAATACAGTATCTGATTTTGATATCTAGCCTCCACCCCGGCTCGAACCTCGTTTCGTAATATCTGAGCTACAGCTGAGGTTATGCAACAGCTATGGAAACAACTGTTTGTACTCAGAAGGACTTTTGAAATAATTTTATTTTGCATTCCGCGAGTCTCTATTCCGACGTTATAGCACGCGACATTTCACGCAACGCACACGCACTAGGGAAAACAAAGCACCGTGCAATTTTGTGTGTGTGTGTCGTGGAAACGCGCTTCAAAGTACAGTAGAAGCTTCCTAGGCGCCGGGCAGCAAACGCACATGTCCCCACAAGCTTTGCCCTTAGCATCCCCTGCCCTTCTATAGGTGACCAAACATGTGCCTGCAATTTTTCTCCACTCTAACGCTCACTTTCGGCAGTTTTTAGCTGCTATTTCTACTTCAAGCTGCCCGCAAGGCAGAAAAACAGGAGTACGCACGCATAAGCCAGCAGCGGAGCTTCAGCCAGCCCGACATGTTGGTGTTCAATATTCAGGCAATTTTTAAGACGGAGGCTTTGAGGAGGGACTTTTCCCAGGAAGGAAGGCGCCTCGAACAGCAACAAGCCGGGAAGCAACGTGGGCTAGGAAACTGTGTCTCTCTCTGTCTTGCTGGTGGCTTGTAGTTTAGGTTGAGGCTGCCGTTTTCACAAAAGTCCGACCCAGAGGGGGCTCTGGGCAACATGAAAGTAGTGGCTTTAATCAGGTAACATAATTGCGAGAGAGAGAGAGAGCGAGAGCGGGCGTGAAGAATATTTTCCCGTTTGAAGAATATTTGCAGTGCAGGTTTCCTGCTTCAGGGAGAAAGACGGGGCAGCCTTCTGGTTTTGGCAGTGCAGGGAGCACAGCTGGGGAGGAGAAACGTGAGGCCCCTTCAGAACCTATTGGGTCGCCTTCTCCGTCAGGCTCCGCTAACACAGCCTGTCCTGAAGGATGATGGGAGTTGCAGTCCAACATCATCTAACAGGCTGCATCTTGCCCCTCACTGGACTAAAGTGTGTTGTAAGCAAATATCAGCCTGCCCCCATTTCCTTTTCCTCACTCTGCCCTTCTATTTCACAACATCCTTCCTGGTTTACTTTACTTCTCCAGGCAGATTGATAGTGTTTTTGTTTGTTTGTTTTCAACGTTGTGCAGCCTTGGCAGGATGTCACCGTAGCATAGTGCTATTTTAGCCAACCTTTGAGACCAGCGTCTCGGGGTGAGGGCATATGTGTTGGTATATAAAGAGGTTTTTCCAAAGGTGTGCCTCTATGGTTGTATTTCCCCCTATCAGGAATTCGTTTTTAACAGAAAGCCTGTCTCTACTGTCGTTCCTCCTTTTTCCCCTCCGCTGATAGGACAGGCTTTAGGTTTGATTCTTCTGCAATTTGTTGTTCAGCATCAAACAGAGTAAAATAGGGGCAAGGTGTATGCACTTACAGTTGAGGAATCATATACTTTGGCACATGTATTTGGCCCAAAGGTTTGTTTGAGTAGTGTCCAGAACTGATCTTGGAGTCATGCTCTTGGTTTTCTTCTATGGTGACTCCTGCTTTAGTAGCCTAAATTAGAGTCTATTTTAGAGTCCATAGACAGGACTCTATGACTTGCATGCCCTTTCCCCCCTTGCACACATCAGCATTTGACTCACCCATACACATGTTGCATGTTGCTCCTGTATACCTTCCCAATGTAATGCAGACAGAGCACGTGCCTGTCTCCATTCCCTCCTCATCTTCTGTATGTGTCACCTCTGTACAATTCATGATGCTTCCAATAAAGACTTGTACTGCTCAATCATTTTGCCTCCTTCAGTTAATTTAATGGAGAGGGGTACCTCTCACTGAAACCTTCCAGATTTTCCAGGGCTGCTTCTGCAGTTTTAATTTTCATTGAAAGTATCTTTTAAGAGAAAAAAGAGATGAAATTGGTGTGTAGTACCTTTGGATGGATGGTCTGTATGACTTTCCCCACCCTTAATCTCCAGCCTAGGTAGGGTAACTGGCCTATACATGCTAAACATTTGCATCCTAAATCCTTCATTTCTGCTATCAAAATCCACACTTTTTTCTGGTCCTCAGCTGAAAAGGCTCTTAAAGTGTGTGCAGTACTATCAGTAAAATAAGATTGCTCTGTCCCTGGTTACAGGCTTACAAACTAAAATGCATGACATAAAGGTACCATTTAAATATTTAAACACACTCTTTAAATGGCTGTTTGTATAGTAAGCAGATAGAAACAATTCTGATACATGGCATTCAGTTCCTGTTCTTGTGATGAGGTGAGCTGTGTTAGCCAGTGTAAACAGCAACAAATTCGAGCTAATTTTCTGAAAGCCGTTGCAATCAATTGTGTGGGAGATTCCCAGATATGAAGGGTCTCTTATTATTTTATATGTCTGTGATTTGATCAGATTTGTATTTTAAACAGTTGTGATGGCTTTTAGCTAATACAATAAACTTGAACTTGAGCAACAAATTTTGGCAACTTTTTGGACTTAAAAAACCACCCCTCTTGTTTAAGTATGGAAGTGAACAAACATAATGCAAACATTTTGCACTTCACACATGCTTTCTTTTCTTTAGAGAGCACAGTCATACTGATACTTTGCGAAGGAACAGCAAATTGAACATTTTCTTTTTTTAAAGCTTGAGAAATTATCTGTAAAGAATCAAGCATTTGTGCATTGGTATTTAGTAGCTTTCATTCCATCTAATGTCCTTGGTAACAAAATTGTCTCTGATGGCAGTCTGGCACCCACACAACGTTGTTTTGCATTGAGTTTCACCCCATGAGAAGTCAGTGAAAATGGGGGTTTAACATTAAGTGCTTTTCAAGCTTGTTGCTTTGATTGCAGAAAACTATCTTATGCTCAAAGTTTGTTTTTAATAATTGCACTCAAGCAGAATGGCATAATACTAGTTCTTTTTTTATATAGAACTCAGGATCAAAAAATCGAAGACATGACTTTTAAAAATCTTTTACTAGTTTTGCTTGTTTTTCAGGTTGTTTCAGTAGCAGTTGCCATTTGCAGACCTCAGAAGGTGGTATGCCACCTAAAGGTGAAACTTGTATATCTAGTTAGAGGCAAACCTATAGGTGGTTTTTAAAAAGCATTTAGAATGAGATGATTGTATCTGTAATTTCCCATTTTTAATGTATGGAAGATTATTATGCATTATAATTTTGAAAATATTGATCAAGATCTGAATCTTCATAGTGTTTTTTGTATAAATGAAAGTATCTGTAATTTCCCATTTTAATGTATGGAAGATTATTATGCATTAGTGACCTTCAGTAGCCACTGAAAATAGGGCAGTCTATGCATCCATCTTCATGTTGAAGCCTCAATATGCTTGTACCTGGGCAGGAGATTAGGGCCCTTGTGCTTTAAATTCAGATTACATATATTGTACATTATTTTAAAGTTTTGTTAGCACTCTGAAAAGTAGTCTGTTATGTAGAAAAGAAGTATAGACATTTCCATGTGTGTGTATCAAAATGATGATTATAGGCCTGTTCTTATATGACCCAGTTTTATGATGAAATTAATAAAGCAATTATTTTTTCTTCTAGTGGTGGGAAAGACAGCTGTTACAATATGATGCACTGTGTTGCTGCTGGGCATCAAATTGTTGCCTTAGCCAATTTAAGACCAGCTAAAAACCAAGGTGAGAATGAGACACTTCCTGTATGGCAATCCTCAGATTTTTCTGCCTGCATACTCTGCTGGGTAATGATCTGCTGTGAATGTAACTGAGTTTGTTAAAATCTGACTTGCTGTGATGCATGAACCTGTATCTGTTAACGGACAGCTAATTTTTAAATCGTCTCTAAGCTTAATCTGAACAGAAGCTTTGTTGGTTATTACGAGTATGAATTTTGGTCTGTTTAAGCAATGGCTTGTTGTGACATTTGAACCTGCAACTGCAGCTTGTCATTGGTTTGTTTCTGAAAACCTTCATCCTGAAACAAAAGCTGACTAAAGAAATGGGAGAAAAACACCAGAAGGTGGGAATACAAGCTGCAGTTTGTTTATCTTTTTTGCAATTTAATAGTAATAATAAAAAAACTGGTTAACACAAACCATGGTTTACTATATGTGAGAATAAAACCGCTATCTGGAGCCATTCCTTCCCTCCTCCTCTCCACTATCGTTGAATAGTAAAAATGAATCAATTATGTGTAGTTTCTTTTAGTCTTACCCAACTAAAGAAAGGAAATGCATATTTCAGGTTAACCTAGTATTTTCCTTCCTAAAAAAAAAAAAAAAAACTTTTAATTTTTCGCCCAAATCACTAGGTGCTCTACCATGTATGTAATCTTGTGGCTGATATCCTGCTCTGTGACTTCACCTTATAAAGCTCATGACTTCATTGCCCACAGTGACTTTTTGGAAGTGAAAATATTCTGATTCCTCCTCCGAGGGTGTTGAGGTTCCCATGGGATAACTTTCATTGTGGGGGGAGCCACTTGGGGCTACAGAATGCATGGAAGTTTTTAATTTTCAAGAAATGCTGCTGGTGGGCTGTTTTTACTGGCAGTGGCAATTTTTAGAAATGAAAGACTCCTCCCCGCCCCATTTTGCAGTCTCCAACAGCATTCACAAAACAAGCAGAGTCGCATGGGAATTTCTAATCTTCCATGTCTGACTGTTTGTGAAATCAGAATTTTTTTATTTTGGAACAATTGCTGCAGCTGATGATAACATGAGCTTTATGTGTCATAGCTCCACAAATTTCAGCGAGTGTGCGTTTACTTGGAAGCGGGATGGATTTGAATAAATTGAATTTAAATAAAAACAATTTAAATCATGACTTAAATCACAATTTAATGATTAAAATTTAAATCACTGGTCAGTAAGCATTTTATTTAAAAAACAGAGTTAAATAAAAATTTAAAAAACTGATTTAAATAAAAATCATTTTTAAAATTTAAATTAGATTTTTAAAAAATAAAATGCTTACTAACTAGTGTTTTAAATTGTGATTTAAGTCAATTTAATTTAAATCAGATCCATCCTGCTTGGAAGAAATTATGTAGAATTAATTGTGTACAGAATTGTAGCCTCAATATAGTGAGAAAAGGTGCTCCTGGTACTATATAGCATCGCTTATTAAACTGAACTACTAATGGAAAAGAATACATTCCTTTGTATCATGGGTAGGGGGGAGAGTCTTCTACTCCTCTTTCATTGTATTTATCTTTGAATTAATACATTCATATTAGAAACAGAATGTTGCTATTTTAAACCATCACAGAATCACTTTCACTGATACATTAGAACTATAGAGTAAAGAATAGTTCAGCCCAGTAGTAGAATTTGTGTAATCTTTTGAAATAGAGCTTTGTGTATACTCTGAATTCTTTTAGTTTTCACTTGTGTTTCTTTCTGATCAGTTTCTTAAGAGTACATGGATTTGTATGCTGGGGGTTAATGTCTAGTTTCAGAATGAACAGACAATTCAGTATAAATATATGTTATTCATAACAGTATATTAAACTTACTGTTATACTTCCCATTGGTTGTATTAAGTCTGCTTTCATGTGATATTGTTTCCCTAAAAGGTCGTTCATGATATTTTTGTAAACACTGTACTTAAGTGATAAAATAAAGATGTATGTAGGTTCTGAAGTTGAGCAGCTGGCAAATACAGTACTGGACATTCAGTATTGGACAGCTGGATTGATGTTCTGAACTGCAAGGCAACCAAAATTGTGTTCATATATGTTTAAGAACACGTCTCCTTAGGATAATGTGTAGTGTGTATTTTGAACATGCATTTTCTTATGGATGTTTTTTCAAACTGAGGTTTGGGTATAGCTCTCTGTTGCTTTTAATCAAAGCTTGGGAATAAATGCATTAACACTGTAGTCTGAACTGTAGAATGAGAACCTGGGTTTTTTTTCAGGAGAAAGGTGACATAAAATATTTTAAATAAATAAACTAAATAAACAATATGAGAAAAAGAGAAAGAAATGATTATGCAGTAGAGTCAGGGCCAATTCCAATTCACAAGACTGTGTTTTTCTTAATATCTCATGGTAGTCTCACCAGCTGCACTGTTTGTGACTTTCAGGTTTCCTTGGATAAGTATGATCTGTAGCCCAGAAAACATGAAATTGCTGCTCCCTAGTTTTGAGGAGCTTGTCCATAGTTGTATCTTTGGTTTAGGTCTCTGGCTATGGAGCCAGAGGCTGGGAGTTCGATTCTCCCCTTGAGAAGGGATCCATAGGATCCCTGCTAGCTCTACAGTTCTAAGATGATGATGATGATTAAGAATTCCATTCAAGGAAGAGACTGGTCAGGTTAATTCAGCTATAATGTGGCATTTTGAGAGTAATTAAAAACAATTTAAAACAAAATTGCCTGTGAGAGAATATCTCAAACCTTGTCTCCTTTTCAATTTTTGAAATACTGTAAGCTTGGATCCAACTATATTGGTGCACTAGCTTAAGCTAACATAGTTTTATATTTGTTTGTGTCTCTTTCAGAGGGAATTGATGAACTGGACAGTTACATGTATCAGACCGTTGGGCACCAAGCCATCGATATATATGCTGAAGCAATGGGCTTGCCTCTTTATCGTCACACCATTAAGGGTACCAGTGTGGACATTGGCAGGACATATACCAAGTGTGAAGGAGATGAGGTTGAAGACCTTTATCAGCTTCTGAAATTTGTGAAGGTATGTTGTATGACAATTTCAGTTAAAAAGAAGGAAACACTAAATATACTAAGACTGGATGTGAAGTTCTTAGTCTTCACTCTTCTTGTTTTCATCTCTATTTATTGCTGTATACCTTGTTACCCACAGAGAATAAACTTTGATGAAATAGATCTTAATTTATAACTTATTCTGCACTTCATGTTGTTTCCCAGCTTTAGGCTAAAGACCATGCTATAGCAGTAAAAACCGATTTATGCTAAGTACTACAAAAGGTACACATAAAAAGAGTTGTATGCTCCTTGTGATTCAATGTCATCCAGGTTCTACATTGCTGATACAGTATATTTTGTTTCTAATTTCTTAAGTTTGGCATCTTTTTGTTTCTCTCCTGAACTGTAGGGAGCACGTATTTCCCATGAAGAGGCCCATGAATTTTAAAGCAAAATCAAAGAGGACAGAATATATTATTTATATTGTGTTTCTTCCTCAGAGCATTACATGGTGCTTTATTGATAGCAGTTTTACATTTGGTGATATCTTGAATTGTCACTGATCATTTCTCCAATATTTTTTTAAAAGGCAATAGTAAAGTATTAGAAAAATGATCTTATTCATATGTAATATTAAGCATCGTATTGCTACATGAGTAAGATGCAAGGAAACGTGGACTTTGAGATTCCTTCCTCCTTTTCTTGAACAATTTAGAAATAATTTAGAAATGTTTGTTTCAATTTTAGATTAAGTGCTGGATTAACTGCATTTCGGCAGGGATTGTGTTAGAATGAAAATGTTTGTGTCACAAATGCAGTGTTAGAGGTTTGGTTTTTATGCTGCTTGCACAAGGAGGATTATAGAATATTTGCTTGTGGAAATATACACCAGCATTTCAGAATCACAGAATTATAGATCTGAAAGAAACCCCAAGAACCAATAAGTCCAACCCCTCCAAGAAGGAAACTATGCATTATTGAACCAGCAGGGTCTTTTATATTTGCCAAGCCTGACAGGATCCTGACTTTAGTCTTCTCTGTGGTTAATTGAAACAAGTCAGTTACATCACTTGAAATTGGCTTTTTACAATGTCATAGTTATATTTTGGGTTCGGATATAATGTTAGCCTATACTTCAGTAAAATTCCAATCCTCTCACTGCTGCCTCCGAGAGAAGAAGGTTGAGAATTCCCAACCACTTTAGTGGAGACAGCATTTCTTTCTATCTGTTGGCTTCTTCTGCTGTGGAATTGCTCCTGAATGGGGAAATCCATGTAGACAGAAGATTCAGTTACATGCATTGGAACTTCCATGTAGACAAGGAATTGCTGAATTTGAATAACTGGCTAAATATGGTGATTTATTCTGTGGGAATAATACAGATTTTGGAAGGCATGAAAGTACTGAGATGTGGAAAAATAAAATGTATAGTTTTAAAGTTTTTAAACAAGTAGTCATTATAATCTGAACTATCATTTTCAGTTTGGCTTGCCTGATAGCTATCACTGGTTGAAATCAGGTTGCTTAGCAGTAGAGTAGGCCTATTGAATCAGTGGGAATTTAAGTCAGCTCCTTCATAAGTTTTATCGATTCAAATGGGCCTACTCTAGTTGTGACTTACTTTGATTCAAGTGGACCTACTCTAGTTGTGGCTTACTTAGCATAGGAAGTTGCAACTAGAGTAGGACTATTCGAATCAGTGGAACTTATGAAGAAGTTGACTCATCAAACTCCCTTTGGTTCAGTGGGTCTACTTAGGTGCAGCTTATTATGCTAAGTAATAGACTTTCAGCAATTATGTTCTGCTTATGTTAGATGATATACGTATTTAGTCTTGTGATGCTCTGCATTGTTGCTGCATTTGTACTGTAGTGCTGTACCTCTTGAAACTGTTAAAAGTCATAGTTACTGTTACAGTGATGGCTGGACAGTAGAAGATGAACTTGAAATAGGATACCCTGTGTTGTTGCTTTGTAAGAGAAAGTATTTCTTTGTTGAAAATCAGGCAGAATATAATAATCTTTACATTGTTTCTAAACTTAGATTTCCTTTGCAGAACAATGGGACTTTTAAGCTGCAACCTACTGTGAGAGATCGGTGATGAGTCTTGGCAGAATATTTTTAGTGGCATACAAAATCAAAGAAACACACTATAGGTCTTTAAAAAGATGAGAAGGAAAAGCAAAGTGCAGCATGGTAATTCCACTCCGTTTTACAATACTGATGTTACATAATCTATTGGGTGCAAGTTAGATCTTTGCCACTCCAGATTCTTTTTGAAACATCCTTACCATGACACTCAGAACTGTAAACTGTGCTCATAGAATCCCTCTTTTCCTGCTAAATAGGTGGTCGGAGATGTTAGTTCTGCCAGTGCAGTTCATAAATATACAAGATGCTGCCTGGAGCACACCTAATTTGGAAAACTAAGCAAGGTTGGGCCTTGTAGAGACCACCAGCTCATTCCAGGGAAGATAGTGTTAGGAAAGAACACGCCTTGAAAATTTGATGAGCTGCTAACCATCAGAGTTGGCAGTACTAGGGTAGATAAACCAGGCAGCTTCTTGTGTCCTTGTTTGAGCAATGAAACTGAGGGTGGTGCCTTGGTTTCACAAATACAGCAGATGTAGATAGTCTTCTGCTGAACTTGTGGCTCTTTGGAAGAAGGTAAACACCCTATAAGAAACACAGGTTTTGTACCAGACAGACTCTTACATGTTCAGTATAGGTGTGATTATACATGGAAACCTCATTGTTTTTCCTGTTTATTTAAATCTACTTTCTGTGGCTGGCTGGTGTTTTGTTTTCACTGTAACACTGAAAAGTTTTGGAGTACATAACTACTTTAGTTTCACTGTAAAAGTCTCAGTTCCATGGGATACCTGAAAAAGAAATCTGAATAAGTACTTCATTTTTAAAAAAATAGAATAGAAAGAAAATGAAAAGAACTTGCAGTGCTGCAAGGCAGTGGTTTTCCAACTGGTCCAAATAATCCTGGAATCTTATCAGCAGTCCCTTGCTTTAGAACTGGAGAATTTTTCTTATCTATAACTGCCAGTCTTCCTTTGCAATGTGCAGTTGTATTTTTTTCAAGCATACACTCTTTCTATGGAATAAATTTCTACATTTTATATCACCTTTCACAGTATGTCTAACATAAAGGCAAAGAGGAAAAATGTATTTTTCTTGTATGGGATTTAAGATAATAACACTAAGAAGAATATACATAGGAGGTAATCATACTGTCAGTTAATGCACAAACAGATGGGGGTACACGTAAGATGAGCAAAATTCAGATCCCTTCGCCCAATCTGCTGCCTGCATTTCCAAAAATGAATGTTGAAGCATGCAGTCAGTTGTTCTGTCTACTACATAGTTCTTTTCGATCTTCAGAACAGGGTTGTTTATGTTCTTGGATACATTTTCATGTCTCATGAACCAAGTGGGAAGCCTGATATTTGACAAATCAGTGTGAAAAGAGTTCCCTGAGAATAGGTTTTAACATAATTGTTCAGCCTAAGCAAAAGTCTGACAGTTTCAAATTCTGCCCTGAAACATTATATTGTAAGGCAATGGTTCCCAATAGAGATGAGGGGTTCGTATTCATCTCCCAGTGGAGACGGATACGAAGCCCTTCATCACAGCTGGCTGGCCTAATTATACCCTCCCCCCACATCACAGCTGGCTGGCTTAATTAAACCCTCCCCCCCCCAACCAGGTATCTTCATACAGCTTGGTGCATGCTGCCATTGTTCTTCTCTCTGCGACAATTGGGGAAATAGCCTAGCTGGGGCTTCTGTGCCTCCCTGTGCTGCTGGCTAATCTGGTGATGAACTGGGATGACAAACCTCTCTGCACAGCTGCTGATTGGTCAACAGCACAGGAAAGCATGGAAGCCCCAATCGGGCTACTTCTGCAATTGGCATGGGGAGAAGCGTGACAGTAGCACACACCATGCTGTAAGCTGTAAGTGGATGCCTGGTTGCAGGGGGAGGGTTTAATCAGGTCAGCCAGCTGTGGTGGCAGGCTTCATAGTCTTTCCACCCCAGAGACAAATATGAATCCCCCATCTCTAGTTCCCAACCTTGGGTAACCCAAGAGTTCTTGGACTGCAGTACCCAGAAACCCCAGCTGTAACAGCTGGCAGTAAAGGTTTCTGGGAACTGAAGTTCAAGAACATCTGGGTTACCCAAGACATCTTGGTGACCAGGAGTGTAGGGACCTTTTCTATTGCCAGATGAAAGTGGACATTGTAACAATAATTATTCTTATGGTGACAAGGTTTGTGGGGTGACTTGAGTGTCTAATATGAGACAATTAACAACACAAATAATTGACAATTTTTGTGTTTAATGGTGAAGACTATTAAGCTAGCTAAGGTAAACAAAAACTATTATTCTTCATTTATCCTAGATCTGCTGATGAGTTGGGGCATCCATTTCTGTACTACAATTTTAGAATAAGGTTTTGTGATGATATGTAGCTGCTACGAGTACAATTCTAAGTATACCTTTTCTATTATCTTCCATGCTAGCACAATAGATCTTAGGATCACACTGTTAAGATGTGTAAAGAGAATGCATTATTGACCAATTTAATTAAATGATTGGTGACAGGACAATCTTTCTTTTCATTTTTCTCCAGACAGCATGGACTGAATACTTTGCTATTATCTGGAGAATAACAGTCAGTTATGACATAAATTAATGCTAATGTTAAATCTTGACAACTTCTGCTTTGGAAGTTTGTGCATGATATTTATAACTATAGTTGAAAAAGATGTTATCAAGTTGTCTTGGACTAAATAAGTGAGGTGGGTTTTTTTGTTCTGAACAGATATTAATTTCACTGCAAAAATTTTAAAGATATAAATATATGGAATCAATTGCATTAATGATAGACATTTTGTAGCCATGCTTTTACAGCTGAATTCATTTAAAAAACTGTTGGTTCTAAAATTGCACTTGAAAACTTGCATATGTCAATAAATAATTGGGTAGTTTACAAGGAAAGGAAGAATGTAAAAGA